TCAAGTTAATAAATGATAATGAATTGTAATATTATAATGCTTGGTAAAAATAAAGTTACAAGTTCAACAATCGATTTTGACATAATGTTTTTTATGTTTAAATGTATTGATATTATTTAGATTTCTAATCAATAAATATTTAACAGTAAGAAATTAAAATGTATTATTTTTATATAAATTATAAACATTAATAAGTTCAAATTGTATTTATGAATATCCTTTTTAATCAAAATTATTTAAATAGTAGGTACAGTACATTAGTACATAGTACTAACATTTCCAATACGTTCAATATTTAATAGACTCATCGAGGAGAGACTACTTCTTCAAGCAAGTATATATATTATTAAATAATAATACAAATTAAAACATAGTATACCTTAATGGATTAAAAAATAGAGATCAAAATATGTAATACTTACACAATAGTAATATTCAGTCTTAAAATTATTATTATTATTTTTTTTTTTTTGTTATTAAAGACTCGTCACAAATATTCTTACAACAATTTGAGCATAAACATTGCTATAACTGTTATTCTTGTTTTTGAGTTCCTGGATTATTTCGTTCAGTAAGTTTCCTAATCAATTCAAGAGTTTCTCGATTAAATGAAGGTTCTTGTTTTTGAGTTTATCTAGTTTCTTAGCTTTTAGATTTTTTACTCTTCTTATTTTTACAAATAGGGTTTTTTAGCATTATTTTTTGTTTCATCTTCCATTTCTAATTTTTCAGGCGTATTTAATATTGTACTTTTCTCTTTTAATCTACTTCCTATGTTCCTTATTATGATGAAGTTCAAATAATAGTTTCCTAACCAGTTTAGAAGTTTCTTGACCAGCAAAAGAAAATCTGTCTAGATCAGAAATTGGAGGAGTTGAACTTCCTTCTGTTTTTAAATGAGGAATAATGTCAATATTAGCTGGTTCTTCAGTAATGCTATTTTTTGGCTCTCTAATTACATAATTTATTGGTTCTTCATCAACATTATCTATTAACATATCGTCAATATCTTCAAAAACTGTTGGCGTAAATGTATCCTTAGTAAATGCATCTCGATTTAAAGGCCAAATCCCTGACATAGAGAATCCATTAATTATATTTTGAGGTGTAGCAGCACTAACTAATGCACTTGTACTAGATGACACTAAAGGCACATCATATTTTTTTAATTTTATCCCTGAATTATTTTCAATCCAGGCCGATTTATTTTGGTTCAAAAATTCATTAAATGGTCTATACACGGATCTGTTCAATGGCTGGAGTTTTTGAAAACAGTGAGGTGGAAATGATAATAATAAAATGCCTGCTTCCCTGCAAAAATCAATCACTGGCAAACATAAGTGAGATTCATGATTATCAAGTAGAATAAGAACTTTTTTATCAACTGAAGGTCTGACATATTTGGTAAATTTCTTCAAAATCTTCAAGAACTCAACGCCTTGCATAAGGTTTAAATTATTGGCAGCCTTAGAAAATATATGCATGGGAGGAATAAGGTAGCCCGCTGCATTTATAGCTAAGCACATGGTAACTGTACTATCTTTGCCACTTATGATCGCTTTATTATGTTTATTACCTCGAGATACTACTATTTTTCCTGTTTTTTGGACAAATGTAACCCCTATTTCATCCATGTTGTAAATATCATGTGCTTGAAGTTTGTACTTCAATAAAATTGACTCATATTTATCCATAAAATGTTTTAGATTTGCTGGGTTGAAATGAATAGACCTTGATATACTAGTCGCTTTTGGGAGACAAATGGACAGTGATGGGTTTCTTTTTAAAAAGTCTGTAATCCAATCAGGACCGGCTTCCTTATTTTGTTTCCAACTATTTGGTACTGTTAAATCAAGTCTAACTGAAAATTCATAAGCTAGTTTTCGAATATTTTTAGAATTTAAACCAAAATACATATCTGAGGAAATTTTTACGTAATCTGCAAGTTGTTTTTCTTGAAAGTCGTCAAATATTTTATTATGTGGTCGGTAACCGAATGCTGGTAGACAACTACCTGTTTCCCTATGGAGTTTAAATTTTTTTATGTACCTGTTTAAACTCACATGGCAAATATTAAATTTAGTAGCTGCAGATCGTTCCGACATAAGATTTTCCAAACATAGTAGAGCTGCTTTTTGCATAGTGCTCTCCGATGTGGTACCTCTATTTGTTGTTTTCACTCGATTACGAGGCATCTTGTCAACTGTAGTAGGAGAACAAATTAATAAATGTAAACTGATGTATCAACAAATTGTAATATTACACAATATGTAATGGGTATGATCTATAATGATATTGATCCCATACATTTTTATTCTGAAAATTATAAACTTACTTGATAACTTATTTTTTGTTGATGAATAATATTCTCATGAAATAAGCTAACATAATGTAAACATTTGAAGGTAAAAAAAATTATAAGAAAAATGTTCATCCGTCGACCTTTAGGCGTCAATATCTGTGGTTTGTATTGTTATATTGTACTTGCCTATGTTTTTTTCTAGGTATGAATTCACTATAATATTAAGATATATCTTAATTCGTGGTTTTTCATAATATTTTATAAACGAAACTGATAACAGTCAATGACAAGCACAAGTGCACAACACATAATATTATTATCAGAGATAATATTTGAGTACAGATCGGTAAACACATTTACGATATTTTTAAAAAAATCCCGGGAAAACATTACCTTAATATTATTAGTTTATTATTCTTAATTAGTCATATTATACAAGATGAAACTAGATGTACCTACCTAAAGTTAGAAATTAAAATTATTAAAATTAAAATTGAATTGTTCATAGACACTATATTGTACTTAAACAAATCCTGAACTCCTATTAGTCCTTAGTCATACATAAAATATTTTACGCAAATAAAACATTTTTATATTTCGTTTATATTATACATCAATAATAATACCACATGTCCATATTTGTAAATCACCGATACTTAAGACAAATAAAAAAAAAAGATTATAATTACCCGGCTCAGAAAAATATAGAAATTATAGTCAGGCCAAAATGCTTGGTAAATTTAAAGTATGCATATAAGTATATTATGCCTAAAATATTAAAAATGAAGTTAATAACTAGGTATTTAAATTTCCTAACTACTGAAATATTTTGCCAATTTTACTTTTGATCCCGATCTTAATGACCAGCGAACACGAATATGGATATTTTCATAGAAATTGAAAAATATTTAACCAACTCTAAACTAGCCATTAGGTATTCCAACCTACTGTAAATATCTAATTAATGTATGTGTTGTGTATTAAATTGTATTATTTAGTAAAAATTAAAAACCTATTAAACCTAATTAATTTGTAGTGAAAACTGAAAACGGAGAAAGTGAAAAATCAATAGAAGATTGTTCAGTGAAGACTAAATAATATATTGAGAATGTATGTCTAACCATTGACCATTGATTATGAATACTATTATTAGTATTATTATGGTACTTATTCACAGTGTTGTAAAAAATATTTTTTAAAAGTATTTAAGTAATTACTCAAATACTCTTAAAATAAAGTATTTAAAATACCACCCAAATACAATAGTAAATTATTTGAGTAATGCTCAAATACTTTTCAGAAGTATTTTAAATAATCTTCAAATACAAAAAAAAAAATTATTTTTATTTTTTAGTGCTGAAATAATTTGTAATAATCAAAAATTTGTTTATTGCATTTTAAAAACATGATTTGTTCAATTATCGAAATTCTGATCAGTCATGTTAGTTGCACCAGTGCACCACAACAATGAACTTTTCTCTACAAAGTTATATATTAATTCAAAAGTATATGTACCTATTTGGATATCTCGTACCGCCATCGACGATAAACGATAATGATAATTATTGAAAAAAATTGTCTTGGTAAATAGGTAGTAGGTACTAATAATTACCTAGGCACCTAGCAATAATATTTTCGTATAGTTAAATAATTATAAAGTATAAACTATACAGTATAATAGCTGATAAGCAGAAGCTTTTTACATACCTACCTATTATATATTTTGTTATTTTCTAATTATAGTGATACCGACTACAGATGTATCTTTTCGATCTACGTCGACAATAAACTGACTGTCCCCTGGAGAAAAAAAACATTTAATTGAAAAAACCGATACGAAATTGGCTTGTGTTTTTATTTAACAAGAATAAATATAAGTAGAAACAAATTAAGAATTAAAAGAATAAAAATAAGTACCTATTCAATAAAATAGTATTCAATAGTAAAAAAAAGTATTTCAAATACCATTCAAATATTTCAAAATAAAAAGTAGGTATCTAAAAAAGTATTCAATACGGAAAAAAGTATTTGAATACTTTTACTCAAATACTTTACAACACTGCTTATTCATTATCGATGGTATGATGTTCTAATTGGTACTATGCCATACCTAAAAGGATTACTTATTAGCATCAATTAGGTGGCATTATAATTTATAATAATTAAAATGTAATAAAAGTATAATCAATGGTACCTATAACATATTTAGTAATTATAGTATTGTGTAGTAAGTACCTACTACCTATACGGCTATACCACAGAATAGATTCATACCTACTGGCTACTACAACGTATAAAAAATAAAAATATATAATATAATATTTTATCAATTTGTACTTATAGTCAGTAGGACACTGTCTATGAGGGACTTAACGACCGAGGAAATACTTAACCTAACGTCTAAATTATTGTATACACGCATCATCACCAGCTTGATAACGAATATGTGATAAACTGATAAATAATTCGGAATTACGAAAAGTTTTGAAAATAATAAGTAATAACTACCTATGTACTAACTACTAATAAGTAACTATTATATTATTTTCAATGCATCTTTCACAATATTTAATTCTGCCATTCTACATTCGAATAAATATTTGATTGCTTCGTCCACATTGATTGCGGGTTCAAATTATATATCAGTGTTTATTCGAACATCGTCCTATGTTGTTACCTGCCTAGAGAATAATCAAAAATGAGTAGTTTTCGATTTAAAAATGCTGGTAAGTTTTCTATTTATTATTTAGGTACTAAGATTCCAATTTGTACTGTGAATAAATATACATTAATGATGTCATGGTATTTTATTTAAATTCGATCAAACTTAAATAATTACATTTTTTTTTCGAAAATACTTATTCAAAGAATCAAAAGATACATTACTGTTTTTAATTTAGAACATTGCATGGAATACAATCACAAAGTAAGTTGCATTGGGTCATAAATCAAAAAGGAATTTAATAATAAATTCATTTTTTATTTTAAATTTTTAAAATTTTGATCAAAGAAACATACATTTTATGTCCCTATGTACTAATTTGTAATTGTCTTGTTCATAAAACCCTTCTCCGATTTGTGACTTAACTTATCTAGTTTCTATTGTTCCTTTGACAGTTAATTTCAAGTGGTCAAACACACAAAAGTTACAGAAAGACCAATCATTGCTATGTAATGAAGATGATATCATAATTTAATTTTATATTTAAAATGAGGTTACTACTTTGATTAGCTGAATGTGACGTTGCATTTTTGTGAAGAACCATAATAACCTGTTTTCCAGGACATAAATCTTTTATCATCATCTCAATTTTGGAATGTAGCTGATTAATTTTCAACTATAAAAATCTAATCACTGTATGAATGGCAAATACCTATATAGACAATGTGGTAATAGCCATGATTAATTACTAATGACATCACAATTAAAGTAGATTTTGCCACCAATACCTTGAAAGAAAAGCTTAAAATATATTGTCTTAAAATTTTATTAGACTATCTTTACTGACCATATTGTAAAATGATAAAACCCAATGCAACTTACTATTTAATTGTTTCTTATATTAATCAGATTACTTTTATTTTAGATGAAAAACCAGGATATGGAGAAGAAGATTCTAACTTTGAATCTGCTATATCTTCTTCATTTGTTTATAATCCATATATGTCATTGGATTTACAAAGCCAAAGAAATAAATTACCTATAACCAAATATCGAAATGAAGTTCTGTATCTTTGTGAAAAGTTTCAGACATTAATATTGGTCGGATCTACTGGGAGTGGAAAAAGTACTCAAGTGTCTCAAGTATGTTTAATTTTATTTACTCAAATTGTAAAATTTATTATTTTTACAGTAATGTTCAGCTATAGTATTTTTAAAACAATTACAAATTTGTACCAATTATTGACTTATTTTAAATTCTAGAAACATATTTTAAATAGTATTATATTCTTCAATTTTTACCAAAAACTCTTACTTAGTTACCCTATTCTTTACTTCTTTATCCAAATAACTTTTTTTTATGAATTAAATTGTTAATATATTTATTGTTAATAACAATGAAAAAATGTTTTTTCCATAGTTTATCACAACAAAATTGTTTACAGATGCTTTTAGATAGTGGTTTATGTCAATGTGACAAATCAATTGTAATTACTGAGCCCCGGAAAATAAGTGCCATTACATTAGCTACTCGAGTAGCACAAGAACAGAAAACCAACCTTGGTCAACTAGTAGGCTATTCAGTGAGATTTGATAACTGTTGTCAACCAGATACAAAAATTAAAGTTAGTTATTTATATTTTATGATATTATTTATATTTTGTTTATATATTAACACACATTTTTTTATGAATAGTATATCACTGAAGGTATTCTTTTGAATGAAATGATGAGCAATCCTTTATTAGTAAATTATTCTGTAATAATATTAGATGAAATACACGAAAGAAGCTTAATGACTGATATTTTAATGGGACTAATTAAAAAAGTTTTGAAAGTTTGTATATATTTAATTGTATTTATATAATATTTTGTTATGCATTTTTTATTTTAAATTACTTTCAGAAACGACCAACTTTAAGACTCATAATACTATCTGCCACTTTGGATTCTTCACAGCTTAAATCATATTTTAATTTAAATCAAAGCAATGACCCTGTTAATGATACCGCAACTGTTTTGGGTATTGAAGGAAGATCCTATCCTACAAAAATATACTATATAAAAGGTGATGTTTTTAAACATATTACACTAAATTTTGTATCTAATAAATTATAATTACATATTTTTTTTTAGACCCAACACCAAATTATGTAGATGAATCAATTAACACGGTATTAAAAATTCAACAAAGTGGCACATCAGGTGATATTTTGGTGTTTTTAACAGGAAAAGAAGAAATAATGCAAGCAGTTAATACACTGGACGATTACAACATTAAGAATGCTAATGAAAAGTACCTAAATATTTTAACTTATTATTAATATATTTACCCTGGTCATTTATAACTTTATAAGTAATTTAATTTTAATATTTAAGAATTTGAAATTTACTATTCTTATCAGAAAATTTACACATTTTTACTTTTTTTTTTAAATTATTCCAAAAAATATATAATAATATATTTTTTATAAGTATATATCTACTAGCAGACACAGAAATGTGTTGCTATTTTTAGGTTTTTGTGGTTATGCTAGCAGAATGTTATCAGGTAGGCAAAATACCGCTGTAGATCGTGGACCCGGGTGGTGCAAACGTAGGTGTATAAGTTAACTTTAAAGTATCAAAAAATGTGAAAAAATTGGTCCATCGAAACCGAGATTTGAACTTGATATATTCTGTGCTAAAATACACAGGCATTTCGCATTAATAATAAAAATTATTATTATTAAAACTAAATCAAACCAATAGCAACCATTTATATCAAAAACAATAATAATAATTTAAAAATCTCTGTTTGAGAGCTTCCCCTGGTTGGACCTCTTATTTGCCTATTTTCCCCACAAAATGTAGCCCATCTTCTTCCCCGAGCTCTAATATATTCCTGTATCAAATTTCATCTCAATCGGATGAATGGTTAGGAATGCATAAAGGACACAGTCAGTCGCAAACATTGCTTGTTTTATATATATATATCTATTAATAAGGATTTCTAAATCTATTGACACATTCAGTTATATAATTTTGTTTCTGTTATTTAATTTCTGTTTGGTTAGGTTACATTAACAAAGTACATAATATATTGTTAAATACTTAAATTATGATACTTCTACAAACCCAATACATAAATTATTAATTAGTTAATTATCCAACACTCGGTTAATATTTTAGGTATTTTAAAAAAAAATATAAAGTATTTAAGTTAAAGTGATTGGATTAATTTTTTATGCTACAGATGTCAGTTCAGTTGTGAATTAATGTCAGAAACCTAAGCTCTAAATTAATTTTTAATAAAATTATATTGGTACTTACCTAACTATTAAGAAATCAATTATTATTTTATTCAATAAGTTCTTTCTCAGTTGTTATTAATTTGCATGCTCATCATATAATTGTTGTTATATTTATATCTCGTCGAGTTATGTCTATTTTAATGTTGTTTAAAGAGTCTAAAAATACTTCCATTTCTTAAAAACTATAGTTATAACTAATAAGTAATAACTGAGTTTGCAATAGTGCTATATTCAAATCATTTTATTGTTTTAAATTCTTTAATATTTCATTTTTTTCACAGGATAAAACTTCTTCCTATACCTATGCATGGTACATTAACTAATGACGAACAACTCAAAGCCTTTCGTCCAGCACCTAGAGGATACAGAAAAGTAGTTTTTTCAACTAATGTTGCAGAGACATCAGTTACAATTTCTGGGATTGTTCATGGTAAATTCAAGATTTTAAATTAATCAAAATGTTTATACACTAAGGGCCGCTTTCACCACTACTTTAAACTCCGATTAAAGTTAAACCGGGGTTTAATCGGCCGAATTTGCCCGGTTAAATATCTGTTATCAGTCGATTAAGCGTAATCGAAGTTTAAAGTATTTGGTGAAAGCAGCCCTTATAGTATACAGGTATAAGTTAGTAAGGATCATGTTCAGTGAGGCCCATTATCTTCTTGAAGAATAAATACAAAAAAAAAATAAGTGTATTAATATATAATATAATGGTATAAACTTGTCCCCATCAATTCGGTTCTGAAAAATCTTCCTGGAAGATAATTAAATTTAAGTTTTTAACAAATATAAATGAAGTAATAAAAAATTATAGATGTATAAATTTAAATAAATATCTTTAAAAAATATATTTAATATATTTAAGAAATGATGTTATAGAAAACTATGAATAAGTTAAATATATGTATTTATTGATTTAAGGTAGATTAATAAAAAAACATTAGTCCATAAATATTTTTATTTTTAAATAATGCTAAATTAATTTTAAAAAAAAAATGTTTTTGTTCAAATTGTTCAGTATAAGAATTTTTTTTTTTTTATTGAGAATGATTATTATTTATCAAAAACATTGCTATAAAGATGATACAATATTTGTTTTTATTCCAGACCCACGTGCAACGGGCGTCGCCCGATTGCGGCCCAAAGTAAACTTTTTATCTTTTCACCTATCCCGATTGCGGCCCGTCCATAATAGGTAGGAAATAATATTTAAGTGGTTATCAAAACTAAATAAATATCCCGATTGCGTCCGATACGTATATTGACATAAATATAACTATCGTATATCTAATCTATCATTTGTACTCCTCGGGAAACAACTAAACAAATTAATAAAAAAAAATTCATACTAACCCAAATTACAAAATTAAAAAACTTGGAAATATCTAATTTTGATTTTGTAAAAATAATAAGTTTTAAAAATCTGCCTCTAACACTATAATTATTTTACTATTCATCGACATATTATTTGTATTTCACATATTTTTTTATTGTAAACAATTTATTATTTTAATATTCGACTATTTGTATATATATACTTTTAAAATTGTATACAAATACATCCATTCAGAAAGTATTCAAAATACTTAATATACTTGCCATGTATTTAAATACATTTTATACTTTATACTTGTTTCATAATAATTTTGAAATACTTTATTATTTGGTGATTAAACGTATTATTATATATATATTAATTATAAGGTATTTTGTGAACCAATGTGTCTTTGGACGCAATCGGGATACTTATATTTGGGATAAAATACGACTACCTGAATTCGGGCCGCAATCGGGCAACTCCGCGTGCAACATAGACAATACGCATTTATATAAAATAATAATTTTATGATTTTTGAATAATCTTTTGGTAAAATTACCTATAATATTTTTTGATGATTTGACTTATTACTTTTATATTATTATTTGACTGAAACAAGTTTGAGTTTAATTTGTTTTAAATTGATATGTCAAACCTTCAAAAATATTATTCTCTGTAGGTAAATTTTGTAATTAGTTATTTTTTTCTAGTATTATTCTTACTTAAAAATATGGTCTTTAAGTGTTATAAAAATTCCAAAAATCAGAATTTGATTGTATGAATTATTTAACCATTTAAATAAGGCGATTATGCTTATTAAATTACCCTGTATAATAGTAATTATAAATCAAATTAAAATATTTATGTAATTATTATTAATATGTAATTAATTATTATTATCTTTATTACTTACTACATCAATATCTTATATTTATAGTTATTGATTGTGGATTCGTTAAACTAAAGTGGTTTAATTCTAAGTTTGGCGCTGATTCATTAATTACTGTTCCTATATCCAAAGCATCAGCAATTCAAAGAGCTGGTCGTGCAGGAAGAGAACGACCTGGTAAAGTATATAGGTACATGGAAATTTTTAATATTCAAACTGTAAATGCTAGGTATGTCATGTTCATTTTCTTTTATAAATTACTTTTCAGATTATACACAAAAGAAGCCTATCAAAATTTGATAAACGCCACTCCTCCGGAAATGATGAGATCTGATTTGACTGATGTAACTTTGCAGCTTAAAGCCATTTATATTAATAATGTTTTAAGATTTCCTTTCCTTAGTCCACCTCCAGCTAAAAATCTTTTATATGCCATGGAAATGTTAAAAGCTTTAGAAGCCATTGACAAGTTGGGGAATCTAACAGATTCGTTTGGAACAATTATGGCTGAATTACCATTACCAGCAAAACATTCAAGAATATTATTGAAGTCTGCTGAAATGGGTTGTTCTTCAGAAATTATATCTATATTAGCTATGCTTCAACTTCAAGATGCATTTGTACGTCCAAAGTATGGAGCTACAATACAAAAAGCTAAAATACAACATAGGAATTTTGAAGTTGCCGAGGGAGATCTACTTACTTTGTTAAATATATACAATGGATTTGAAAAAAATCAGTACAGTCAACCATGGTGTCATAGATTTTTTATAAATTATAATGAGTTATGCAAAGCCCGTAAAATCCGATCACATTTAATAGATTTAATGAGGACATCAAAAATTCCACTTAAATCCTGTAAAGGTGATTATAACATTATATTTTTAAGAACAATTTTTTATAATAATAAATGATTTTATTTTTTATATTACAGGAAATACAAGAATTATTATAAAGAGCATTGCATCTGGACTTTTTAAAAATGCTGCTTATTTACATTATACGGGAGTATATAGATCAGTTGGTCTTGATGAAGATCTCTTTTTTCATCCTAAGTCTGTTCTGAACTATGTAAATCAACCACAATGGTAAATTATATGTCATATTTTATTGTAAAAAATAGTTGAAATTTAAAATTACATACCACAAAAATATAGGTAAAAACTTAAGTAGGTATGTTAATTTTTAAAATAGTTTGTATAGAAAAAACTAATTTCTTTGTTTCAAATGAAAAGGAGTATTGAAATTTGTTTGGTGATATCATTATAGTGTATTCTATACTTCCTTAATTTTCCTTATTAAATTGCACATTTTAACTTACTAACTGTTTGTAAAAGTAAATAATATTTAATGTTTCAATATTAACGTCTTGTAAAAAACATCCCAATTTCAGTATTACTTAAATGAGTTCTGTTTATTGTAATCAATGGGTATTATCATAAACTTTTGAATACAATCATTTAGTTAAATTAAAGACCAAGCTCTACAATATCACCTATAAATAAATGCTAACTATTTTCTCATGATATAATCATAACAATATGTTGGAATACTGAAATATTTAATAGTGACTTCCATACAAATACAGTAATCCCTCGTTATCCTCGAAGGTTACGTTCCAGCAAACCTGCGCGGATAACAAGACCATAAATCAATGTAAAAAAGGAGGCTATAATTAATTTTTTTTAATTTTAAAAATCAATTAATAATTTTTTAATTCATACAACTTTGTAATTTATTTATTATCAATATTGATTATTTATTATTATCTATAAAACATATTAAGAAGGATGGAAAAAATTAGTACTAGATGTTTGCTTCCTTTTATTTTCTACACCTTTGCGAACTTCTTCGAATGGAACCATCAATCCTTGGATTCCTTTTTTGAGTTTTAATGCTCTTTCAGTGAATGGATCTGTCTCAAGAACTCGTTCAGTCAGTTGGTTTGCCAATGAAAAAACCTTATTGATCGATTTTGAGGAAAAATCCAACTTCACGGTCTCTTCTTCCTTGTCATTCTGGTTAGATTGATTTGGTTCGTTTTGGATTGCGGTAATTTTTTCCAGCTCCTCCAATGTAAGCTCCTGATCATAGTTATTCATCATTTTTTCTATGTCGTCTATTTATCTCATCAAAACCTACGTCCTGAGCAATTCCTACGATTTGATTCACAGTGGTGCTCAGATCTTCAATTTTATAGCACTTTACTAACACTGCGTTATATTGTTTCTTCATTTTTATGTATTTCTCAAACACTAGACTCATTCATTTTGTACGTTCTAGCAAGTGACACTACAGTATCACCACTTTTTAATTTGTCCAAAATTTCAATTTTTGAACGAGTGATAAAACATTTCTTCTCCTTTTTACTGACATTTTACATTGAGAAGCCATTTAAAAATATTTTCACTACTAAATTTATTAACCACTGCTGCACACGTGTCACGCACAAATATCACATTACAACTGAGCAATTGACGGTTATTAATCGTGCATGTTTAGGTAACCTTTTGTGGTTTATCTGCAATAAGTACATATGTATGTATAATGTTTATGTGTTATACCTATAGCGATATAACAAAAATTATCTACAATTGTCAAAAATAAATGTCTACAGTATTTGTGTAATAACGGTAAAACATTATCGCAATCGCATTAATAATATGTTATCATGGACCCAACCACGGATAAAAAAAAAGCCGATAACTAGGGATTACTATAGTACCAATAGATATAAAACTATTATTACCTTTTGTTTTAATATTCTAATAAATTATTTTAAATAATAATTTAAATATAATAATTTTAAATATGTTTTAACTTATAATGAATTTATACTACATTCAATTTATTAAAAAATAATATTTTAATAAAACCCAAAATATAAATGGTTTCCAAATATAAACCATATTCAAGTATTAATTTGTATTCTAATCTAATTAGCGTATAATCATAATATCATCTATGAAATTTTTCTCCAGTTATGTAAATGAAATAATTATTAATTTTATGTTTTGTTTTTAGGGTCCTGTATGATGAACTTCTGGAAACTACAAAAACGTACATAAAAAATTTGGTTGAAATAACACCATCGTTATTATTAGAAGTAGCTCCTCATTATTTTTCTACACCAACATTATAAAAACAGATTATTTGTATATTATTGACATTTTTACTAGTAAATAGGTTTATAATTTAAGACATTTAAATTCATTAACCATTTCATTTTACTATAGCAATTTTGTGAATATATTATAATATCATGTTTATTAATTATAAAAATAAATTATGTGAAACTATACATTTTATACTCACATTTATTAATATGGTTTTTATAATAAAATATATTTGTTTTTATTTTACATTATTTAGTGACTATTTTTAGTATTATTACTACTTAAAGATTTATTTATGAGATGTTTATTTAGTAATTCTATTATATTTTTTATATAAAATTGTTCATATTGGATTTCATATTGAATACCTAATAATTTATGAACCAAATGTATTGCGTGATATTGGTATTTGGTGGGTACGTAGTTGTAATTATATAGATAGGTCGTAGGTGTAGGTTGGTAATATTATCTTGTTTTCATGCAGTGTAAAACTGTAAACTAATAATAAATTAATACTGACAATTTAAAATAATTGATTTATTTTAGGTTGACAGATACTAAGCAAAATGATGAATGTATTGATTTTATAATAATATTTGTTATTTTAGATTTATTTTTAAAATGTTTGTGTCTTATCAGTTATCACCTTTTTGAGCAGTAAAAATGCTTAGGTTTTTAACTTTAAGGGGGGCTTTTAGTAGAAAATTTGAACTATTTGGTACTTTGGGGAGACAAAAAGTAAAAAATTCTTAATAATCTGTTATAGATATCTTGTATAGATTTTCTTAGATTTTAATCTCAAAATATGAATAAGAAATTTTTTTTGCTGTGTCAAAAAGATTGAAAATCTAAAACAAAGTTTTTCATAAATTACTATGTTAATATTTAAAATATTAAAGATAAGATACATAAGCACAAATTTTTTTTTATAAGCTAACGAAGGGGAAAATGTAAAGTTTGCCTAGAAATTTAAGATAGTAAAAAAGATCGGTTATATAATTTTAACCGATTTTTATAATTTCAATTTAAAAATTCAACAACCAAAAAAAAATTAATTGTTAGAAATAATACTTAAAAATATTAAAAATAAAGAAACATCGGTGACTAAATACGTCAAACACATTGCTTTTTACTTACATTATTACACTACAATTTTACTTAGATATATTTTTACAAATCACAATTTTACATATATTATATATACATTTTACTTATATTTTCTGCAACGAATGAGAAGTAAAAACCAACACTGAAATATTATACTTACATTTTTACACAATTTTTCACTCATATAACTAATTTAAAAATATGAAAATGAAAATATAACGAAAACATTTTTGGAGGATAATGAGAATTGCCTTCTTATGGTGTCTTCTGGGTATAAAGCTAAATGGTTCTCAAAAATTTTATTAGAAAATTTTTAATTAGATATAAAAAGATCTTGGCATAATATTTTTATCCGGGACTAGTTTACACGTCGATAATTTTTACCAAAAAAAAACTCGGAGTTTTCAATAGACCCTTTCAACACTTTCTTTCTTCTGGCCGAGTTTAAAATCACTTATTTATAGTTCAATTTTGACAAACTTCGTTAAAACCCAAAATTTGTTTGAAAATCATTTTGTAGATAAAAATATTTTTTATTGATATAAACTTAGTAAAAATGAGTTAAATTAATATATAAAATACTAAACAATAAATATAATAAACTATTATATAATTATTATTTCTGATACATATTGCATAAATATAACTGAACTTAGGTTTATAAGTTAATTGTAAGTTTCCATATAAATTTTAACTCAACTGAGTAAAAAAAAATTAAAAAAATTAATAACTTTAAATTTTTAAAACATTTTCTATCAATAACTCATCTATTTAATCAATTAACTCAATTCAAAATTATCATTAACGTGCCCAGGCTTGTAAAAATGTATAAAATGTTTAATTTTAGATTCTGAGTGGAACGATGAATGTATTGATTTTACAATGATGTGTGTTTTTTTATTTTTTATTTATTTTTTAATTTTTAATTTATTTTTTGTGTCTGTGTACACGATAAGTAGTCGAAATAAAGCTTCGATTTTCAACTTCAATATCTTGTTCGATTGGAAAGTAAATATCGATGGTGCATTGGGGATGTCAAAATTTAAAATTCCCAGTAATTTTCAAAAGCGCCAAGAAAAACAAAAGAAAAACGGGAATTTTTAAGCAAAATCGATTTGTCACAAAATTGAAATTGGTTTTTGGTGTAACTTTAAAACAAATGACCGTAGATACATGAAATTTTCCCTGACTGTTTATACTTGCATTTTCCGTACACGATGACATTTTCAAAATATTTTGATTTATTTTGAAATGTTTAGGGACATTTACATTTAAAATTTTTTTTTTTGTTTTTTTTCTAAAAATATCAATAAAATTTTATTTGTTGGTTAAAAAAGCTTGAAAATTAAATAGAAAGCTCATAGTATATTTTTTTCAAAGGCTGGTGAAAAATATTAAAAATCCTTGGTCACATTTTTTTTATAAGCATTTAAAGTTCAAAAATTGAAAAAATATGGAAAAATCACGACATTTTGAAAACATTTTGACTCTTTTTGAGCTCTTTACGGACATTTTCAATTTTCAATTTTTTTAGTTTTTTTTTTCTTTAAATATCAATTAAATTTTATCTATTGGGCCAAAAAGTGTAAAAATTTAATACAAGGCTCCTGATATATTGTTACAATATCAATTGAAAAATATTAAAAAGACATTGCCACAATTTTTTTTTATAAGCATTTAAAGATCGAATTTTGACAAAATTTATCAAATTTAAAATTGAATAATTATTTTTTAGTTAAAAATTTATAAAATATTCAACTTTTATATCTAAGGATTGAAAATTAAAAACAAGATTCCATGTAAGTAGTTAATTCTGTTACCAAAAAATCTAAAAATACACAAGTACAGTTTATTTTTATAGTCATTTTACGTTCAAATTTTTACGAAATTACATATTAAAAAACCTAGGATAACTATTCTAGTTATTTTGTTGTGATTGTGTAATATTATTCGTGGGTACTTTAAACTTTTAAAGTACACTCTTATATATCTATGATAGTATCAGGGTTGTTGTTGATGTGTAAGGCGTTATAAGTACCTAATGGATATTGTGATATGATTATAATTTGGAATTTATTATAGGTACCTATTAAAGGTCAATTTTTTTTTAATACCATAGTTATGTGTATAATATGTCTTAAACCTAGACTGACATACTGTCCCCGCTCAGAATCGTTTTTCTTATACAATGATTTTATATCATTGAATTTAAATTTAATACCATCCATTATGCAGTGACCCACTTGTAACCTACTGTACAGCAGAGCACCTTTTTTTATTTATATGCTGATCATTTTAAACAAGGTTTCTTAGAAGTCGTTCATAGATATTGTAAGCAAAAAATCTAAAATACATGAAACACAGTTTTTTTGTTATAGATATATTAAGTTCAAATTCCTACGAAATGTTTGATATGTAGATAAGTATCTATTAGGAACTTAATTTTCGGAAATTTATTACAAGATTCCTCATAAGTTTTTTATTGGAACTTGTAAATGTAAAATCACAAAAGTTTTCTTGGTTTTTATGAGGGAACTCGTACAAACATGGAATCTTAAGACCGTTAACCTAGATGACCTATAAGACCATATGACTAGATGACCTGGGCAGTATAAATCTGAACTTACGAACTGATCTTATAAATCTGGACTGTACAATCCTAGAATTTAAAATTACAAATCTGGACCGTAAAAATGTGGACCTCACATACCTGAACATTCTTTTTTAAGGGGCATATATAGGCAAAACAAAATACATGCAGTCTTTTTGTATGTTATAATTCAGCAATAACCTAACCGTGAAAAAAGGGCCAAGTTCTAACCCCAAATTTAAACAGTGCCCTAAACTCTTAAAGTTTAATCTGTATTTTCAATTTAAAAAGGCCATCTTAAGAGGAAGCAGAAATGCAGAATTGAGAGTTAGGAAAACCAGCCGAAGCCGTTCGTGTAATTTAGGTATACTCTGGTATTGCTGAAACTTGGCCGGGGCACTACCGCGTGCTCAGATAATAAAATTTATTTCACAACTTCTAATAAAACTATTTTAAAAAAATTTTAAACTATAGTTTTTTCATTAATATTATTCGTAGGGACTAGACATTTTTTTCCATAACGTACTCAATAGTCAATACATCCATTGGGTACTTGCCAGCTGTCGGCATACAGTGACCGCCGTCTACGCTCTGCAATGACGAGGTATAGACTATAGGTACACTCAACTCTTACAACCTAGTATCTACTATTCAATTACCAGTGGAGGCGGGATATAAGATTATTTGAAGCAATTGCTTCATGTCTGAAATGGGTGGGTGGCAGTGCCGCATTTAGACATTTTGCGCCCCGGTGCAAAAAAAAAATTGGCGCCCCCCAAGCCCCGGTGAAAAAAAAATTGCTCCTCCCACGGAAAATATGTGAGGTAGATCCTCATTACCCTTTAGATTTTGAGCGAAGAAAAGAATATTTGTTTAAGAGTGCTTTTTTAAAAAAATATTGTTTAGTAATTGCTTGATCCCTCCGCAAAGATATATTGGAATTTATGTCACTCAAACCTTGCTAATAATTTAGTATCATTAAGTTGTTTTTTTTTTAAACATATTTAAGTAGGTACTTCATGGATAAATAAAATAAAATTATATAAAACTATGCAAATAAATATTTTATATTTTATTGTATATAGTATTTTATAAAATTAATGTAACTATATACAGGGCTGGTAGTGGTTTAAGCTATTTAAAAAAAGTGACTGAATTTATTTATAAAAGTGACAAAAAAGTGACCTGCATAAATTTGTTTCATAACAACTTGTCAACTTACCAGTTATTAAACATTAATTATTTTTGAATCTCTACATACCTATAGTTTAATTGATTCTTACTTACTTAATTTTGTAGAAATTACAAAAAATAATGATTATAATAAAC